CATTTCTTTATACTGTAGCCTGGTGAGCGTTCTACAAATGGTTTAACTTCCAGAATTTAAATATTGTGACAAAGTTGGCCTTTTTCCCATTAAAGGGCCCATATTACGCCATTTTCTGATAGATGTTGTAAGGTTTCCTCATCAAAAACATATCGTATATGAGTTTTGTTTTGTTTGTTTCACACATGTTTAACACACAAACCCTGCATATTTAGGCTGAGTTCTTCTCTCAAACTGAAATACTTTGTTCTACCTTGTGATGTCATGTTCTCACTGTGTTTTAAAAATCCATACACCTTCACTTGTATGATTTCAGCCTGGAATTGCCCATTTCTACTGGACAAAGAATAAAAGGAGCTGTTAACTTAAAAACTACCACTTCATAACATCACAAGGTGGAACAGAGCATTTTGAGCTTTAGAGATGTAGACAGACTGATAAAGAATTACTCAAACATGAGTGAATGAAACAAAAAACAACTCTGGGTTTGTTTTTAATGAGGTAACAACACTACAACATGACTAAAAGCTAACAGTAGTACATTTTACACATAGGACCTTTAAGTCACATTTAATTGAATTTTACACATTTTCATTTTCCATAGGTTTTCCCATAACCAACTAAACCACTAGATACAATGATCCCGGGTTTGTTTTGTTTAGTTATAGTAGGGTGACCAAATGTCCGGTTTGACATGTCAGTTTTTCACGACCTGTCCTGGTTTTCCAGGTTTTTTTTTATAAAGTGATGCAAATGTGCGGGTTTTCATTATCTTTCATTGGGCCATTAAATTGAGCAGCTCTCGTAGCTCTCTGTGCTCTCAGGAGCGAGCAGACACAAACAGTTGGTCAGCCTGTAACATGCTGAAGCTCAAATGTGCATTTAACGATGAGTTGTACAAGAAATTCCCCACTTTTCATCCCAGTCAGGACAAGTGGGAGGCCATGTGCACAGTGTGCAAAGCAGACACATATGTTTTGGTGTCGGTGAAATTAACGTTTTTTTGGATTAGATACATCCATGCTCTCTACTTACCTGAATCTCCACATGGTCCAAAAAAAAGTGGGCGTGGCTAATGTCAGCCATTTTTAAACTTTGGGGGGTCATGGATCGGACCATGTGGAGGGGAGAACTGGTTTGGGTTCCTTTTAATTACTTTTGTTTTGGTGTCAGTATTTCAGTGTTTATAGATTTATATTCAGTTTTATTTGGTTTAAAAGGACTCAGGCCCTCGTTAATTAAGCAGTTTTATTTTATTTATTGCTAAAGATAAAACCTAATCGTCACCTGTGAAGAGAAATGGTCCTTACCTGGGGAGGTTCTTCCTACTGGAGAGTAAAAAAGGGAGTCCAGTTTATATTATTATTCCTTGAGAGGAGAGGTCGATGATGCCATAAAATTCAGAAAAAAGTGGGAGCAATAATCAATTCATCAGGAAACAGGAAAATTTAAACACTAATTTCAAGGTTAAGATTCAGACACTCAGGATCAGGGTTTGATTTATTATTTTCGCTTTAGTTATCAGTTGATCACTGTTGTTATTTATTTATCTTTTTATTTAATTTTGTTTTGATTATCACTGAGTCGCATTTCATTTCACACTCCTTATCAGTTGGTGGCGGTAATGCACCAGTAGTTGTTTGCCAACTGCCAATAAAACACTACAAGAAGAAGAAGAAGAAGAATTATTATGCCTTATTTGACACCGGTCTCTTGCTATTTTTGCTACTTAGTTAGACTTTATTATTACCAAATATATATTATATTCCAAATAATTTCCCGTGTGGATCAATAAAGTTTGTCTAAATCTGTGTGACTTAAAAAAATAATAACAATAAAGATGTAATTCCAGGTATCACTTCATTTATTTGACTATTTGCTTTACTATAAAGTTTGGACTTTGTGACTCTAACCCGGGTTTCTTCATTTACCTCACACATTGCCATTCTAACGTTGCCAATCAGAAAGGCCTCATATTTCCTACACAAATCCTCTTTAGCTTCTCCTCTTTTTTATCCAAGGCTTGTCATTAGGAAATGTTTTTTACTTTGGATGGAATGATAGTGTCTTCTGAAGTTACCAACTCATTTTTTCATCTAATAACTCCCATTCTGTACGTACAAGAGCACCTCTGAGTGGCATCAGGGGTCCACACTTGCACTTGCCTCATGGTTTTGGTGGGTCTTTAAGTTAGAAGTACAATGTCATGATCAGAAGAGACAACAGGAGGCAGCACTACAGACTCTTATGCACGTTTACTGTAATAAAACCATATCAAAGCTCTATGGTTTTATTTATTTTAAGACAAGATAGTAGGCCAAAGCTTTACTGTTTCATGAGTCTCTTCACATGGCTCCTCTTGTGAAATGTGATTTGTGCATTTTATACGCTAGTGATGACAAGAATAAGACTTTCTATTTGATTTCATGTGTGTATTTTTCAACCTTTAACTGAAAAAGTGATTCACATGATTCCAGACTCAAGTGTTGTAATGAGAGTATGGACAGTATGGGACTTAAAGGTTGTATGGAGGATTTTTTGTTTGTTTGTTTGTTTGTTTCAAATTGTCAATGAAAGTTTAAAATACCATTACAGAGATGCAGCAGCTTTGTAATTATGATGATCAAAAAAAAAAAAAGAATGAAAATCCATCAACTGTGGACGTGTTGAGGCCAGATAAACATCAGCCAATAGAAAACGAGACTCCCTCATTTTCTATTGGCTGTCAGGTTGTCAATCAAATTCCCTAGTGTAAGTGACTCGCCGGCGCACGGGGATTATGTGGTTTATGCAGCGGTTCTTTGAGGCTTTTTTAAACTGTCGCTTCCTCGCATTTCGCACAAAGTTTGTCGAGACGGCGGGCGAGAATCCACGACCAGTTCGCCGCAAAAGAAAGTCCGTTTTTGAGGTCACTGAAAGAAGAAGAGAAGGGGAAAAGGAGCGAAGACAAACTGAGGTGATTCTTGGAGATTTCTTCCACCGATGGTGCGACTGAAGCGGACGAAGGGTATAAAAACTGACGCATCGGTCGATAAATTACCTCTAGACAGGAAACTTCAACAGTGATTCTGAACGCGCACAAGGACTCTCGCTGTATTTCTCTTCCCTTAAAAAAATCCTCTATACAACCTTTAAAATGGCTTTAAGAGGAAGAGTGACCTTTTTTTCTTGACAGTGCAAACTATATTTTGTGGAGGTTTTGACGCTCACAAAAGAACTGTCATTTATTATTTAATTCCAGGGACAAATATAATGATTCTAACATTAGAAAAGAGAACCGAAAATGAAAGAAAAGTCATAGTTTACCTAAATTATTACAGTGTTTGAAATGAAACACTAGAGGGCAGTGTTGCTTAAAGTTTAACACACGTAGACTTCTTTTTTAAATAAAGATCGCTGCATTTATGAGTCTGTCCATTACAATAGCCTCGATTAAGTATTAATGTAGAAGAAGGTTTGCATGTGGGACTGATTTCCCACATTTCTGGACAGCTAAAATGTCCTTACCAGTCAGAGCACTGAGTATATTGTGCTCTCTCAGTAGTCTAGACACGGAACAGTTAGACTACTAGTACTTCAGTAAGTCCAGTCATGTTGAATAAAAAAAAAAAGCTCAAAGAAATGCCCCTTCAAATGTGTAAACCGATAATATATAAAGCTGGCCCAATGTGGTCAAAGCAGGAGGCAGACTTAGACCAAATTTATTAAAAGAAGATCACCCCGCTTGCACAATTAAAAATTGATAGTATTGATAGTTTTTTTAGATAGTTTGAGTCCCATCACATCACATAACATAAAGCTATAAACACAAGTTAACTTAAATCAAAATACATAAATCTAGAAACACAAATGACAGCAAACAGTTCACCCCCCTCCACATGGTCTGACCCGTGACCTCAATCAAAGGTTATAAAAATGGCAGATACTGGACACGCCCCTTTGTCTCTAGCACGTGGTGAATAAGGTAAGTTCTGCTAATATCGATGTGTTTAATGAATTAGCAAATAAAGTAGGTTTAAATTAACAGTGTTTTGTGTGATAATTTAACAAAACAAGATCCCAGGGTTATGTCAAGTTATTTAGTTCTTTTTGGCAAATTAAGAAAAATAATGGGACAAAGTGACCTTAAACATAACGGTGTCTCGCTAATTTATTGTGCACGTTCAACACATAGAAACAACGCTGATGTTCACAGGGAAATCAGATCATCCAAATGAATCAGAACAGGTTTTCTCACATTTCAAAGTGTTGTTTTATTGAAGATGAGAGGGGGAAGAGAGAAAGAAGTTACTTTTGGTTCTCTGTTGGACACATGTCTGAGTGACTGCATGATGTAGCTCTTGAGTTTTCTCTTTTAACATTTTCACACTGTTGAACTCCTTAACACCTAATCAAAAATTACAGTTCACACCTCTTCACATTTGTTTTCTCTTTCCTGCTTTTGCTTTTCACATGGCACTTATATAGTTTCTGAAGTATTAATAAAAAACTTTTTTTTTCCCTCTAACTTTCATGAAAAGCGCTCCCCCTTCTGGAATACGCTGCACTATACAAATAACCACAAGATGGAGTCAAAGTGTCTTAGTTCAGGCCTGTGACCCTGTTTTACTTGCTGTTTTATGGCATACTTGCTCTCTGTAAAGTGATTTTTATCTGTGGAAAGAGCTATATAAAGTTTACTTGTATTTCTACATACAGATGCAACTATGGCTATTTTTAACCTATTCATCTTTTTAAAATCATAGTATGCTGGAGTTGAGCTCTGCAAGCCAGGGTTCGAATCCTGCTCAGCACATCTGCTTTATGTCCTGTGTGAGCCAAAGTTTAGAAGGTGCATCACTCAGAATTAAAGGTTGCTGGTTCGAGACCAGACCCTGGCTGTCTGCAGTGGCTTCAGAACTCTCTAGTTCATAACAATACCATTTAACGCAGTCCTCTGTATTCCTAATTTCAAGAGAAAGTTCACTTTAAGCTATTGAATACAGTCACGTCTTTTCAACAGGTGCAGTTTTTCACCTCCATGTACAGAAGAAGAGTTCTCCAGACCTGCTGGCATTAACGCTGACACAAAGTGAGGCTAAGGATCACCATTTTTATTTTTACCAGAAATACTAAACCGTTTGTGTTTTGTTTTCTGGTGTTTCTCAGAATACTGTGGTCCTGAGACTCCTGAGGCAGAAGGATGTGGGTCTGCTGTCCTCTGCGTCACGACTGACCACGTGAGCCGGATACTGCTGGAGCGGGGAGAGCGTGATCAGTGAGTCTGTGTTCGTTCAGTCTGTGTTCAGTGAGTCCAACTCTGTTTAACAATGTGATGGAATCAGAGCACAAACATCATGTATTTAAGGCTTAAGGTTATGGAACTTTGAGCTAGAAGCTAAAGAGGAATATGAAAGAGGTTTACAAAATACAGTTGTTGTTGTTTTGCCCCATTCAATTAGACAGTGGAGATTACAACATAATTTCAGGGGGTCGCCAGATGATATGGAGAAAAATTCTAAATACTCTCAAGGCTTAACAGTTTTCAGATGCAGTGTTACATGTAGATTCTTATCTCTTGGCCTACTGGATGAATTTATCCATGTTTATGTCCTGCAAATAATATCAAGCAGTAGATATCAGGAGAAACATTGCATTAGACAAGAGAATAGTTAACTCAAGCTTTTGTGTGTACAGTATTTAATAACAAATAGTACAAATAGAGCAAGTCATATCTGGAAATGCATCTTTATTTCCCAAAAATCAAAATTATTTACATTCTATAAGTTAAAGCATTTGTAAAACACTCACCAGGCTGATGAGTATTTCTACGTATGGAGACAGAGTGAGAGAGAGAGCCTTGAATTGGACATGATAATTACGATGAGCCTCTTCTTCCTTTGTAATGAGAAGTGTCCGTGTGCCACTTTGAAGCAGCCTCTCCAATGAAGCAAAGGCCGGAGCGTGCTAAAAGTCATTCTTAAGTGCGCCACCGATGATCCAAAGTAGTTCTGGCGAGGGGGAATCTGTGGCCATACCTATGTAACATTCATATCCTCTCAATTATAAATCACAGCCAGGAGAAGTCTTATGTTCCGCACTGATGAATATTTCAAGTGCGGCGTACACAGATCAGCCTATTGACAAAGGCAGAATACTAATGTCCCCTCCAAGTCTGATTAGGGGTTAAGCAGACTGCAAAGCACATCATTTAGCTCCATTCTTGCCTTTTCCGTACATGAGTTGTTGGAATATAGAGATATGCTACATGCTATAGGTGCCGCATGTTAATGAGAGGAACTTAATGACGTCTGAAACTTTTCAAACTAAGTACAGATAAGCTGGACTTTCATTTCGAGATTGTCCATTGTGCTGTGTGACAAAGACATCCAGATTGTCAAAAGTTTGGACACATTTTTTCACATTCACTACGTTTACATACACGCCAAGAAAACTGGATGATTGCCCTGGTCCAGTTTAACACCTGGACAAACCTCCTTGTCACAGCCACAAAACTGACATTGTGTCTTTAGGCAAGACACTTCACCCACATTGCTTTGTATGTACGTGGTGTGAGCGTGAGTTTGGTGGTGGGTGGAAGGGCCGAGGCCACAAATTCTTCTGTCAGTCCGCACCAAATTGTAAAGTGATTTTGAACATCTGGAAAAGTGCTGTGTAAGACTAATGCATTATTCTTATTCTTAAAACAAATGTTCAAAATGCATGAACACTGAAACTATGATTGCAGTGTTGTGGTTCGAAACGTACACATCCCAATAACACATTTGCATCGCAGTAGGATTTCATTAGGTTCAGACTAGGAGAGACATTCAAATGTACAAGCTAAGAAACACCCATCGTGTGTGGACTTTCACTTTTGCTCATTTTAAATCGACAGATGAATCAAACTATGGTCCCTTTTATAGTAGACGGTAGGGATGTAACAAAAACCGAAATATCGCGATATGGTATCGTCAAAGTTCTCACAGTAATATCGTGGACCATCACATTGTTTTGAATTACAAGTCTCTTTGCTCAAATTAAGAGTTACGGTACAGTAATTGCTAAAAAAAAAAAGACAGAGGGAACTACACAGACCATGATCCTTTGCTCCATTTCAGTGTAGACTATAAGAAGAAATAACAGCTCTAAGCGCTTTTAAGTCTCAGTTCTTTTCAAGGCATTTTAAGAGGAAAAAGTAGCATATTCACAGTTTTGTTAACCTCCACAAAATATCGCAATAAATATCGTACCGCGAGATATATTGTGAGTATATTGCGAAAATATCATACGGAGAGATTTGGATATTGTTACATCCCTAATCGTGAGTCTCCCCACCATATCGTGAGCTTTCCTACGATATCGCAATAAATATCGTACCGTGAAGTTCATACCGTGACAATATCGTATCGTGAGACTTTGATATCGTTACACCCCTAGTAGACGGTTTTCATTGTTTTGGTCTATGATAAGGAGAATGTAAAACGTACTGGGGTTTCAGTTTGCTTTGGAGCAAATTGTTAGTGAGTAACACAGTCAGGGGTATAACACCAAATTTTGTGCCCTGGATACAAATCATCTTGGTGGGCCCACACTACATGTTGTCTAATGAAAAATGCACATTACAGGTTTTATGAGGGGCCTCTCTGTGCACCGGGCCCTGAGTAAACAGTACCTTTTACCCCCTCAATCCAACGCCCCTGAATGTCTGAAAATCAAATGCTCAACGTAAATGAGACGTCACTTATCAATGTCTGCTAAAAGTGTGGCTGTATGATAACTGTTTTTCTATTACATCTATTATTATCTTGCAGTACAAACAAAGCAGCATTTAGTTTTGTGTATGTTTGAGCTAGTGTTTTGTCTAATGATATTTTTCTAAATTTGTAACTTAATTCATATATTCTTAGACCCATAGATTTGACAGTATGAGCATGAAATGAAGGTGAAGCGTTGGGAGAGACATTCTGCTGACGATGCTTGACATAAAAAAATTCAAAAACGATATTAAAGGGTCCATATCAAGCTATTTTCTGATCTGTTATTTTATTTCTTCATCACAAACACACCTGGGGTTGCGTTTTGTTTCATTCACACATTTAACACACTTGTATGCATATTTAGGCCGAGTTCTTCTCTCCGAAAACACTGTTCCACATTGTGATGTCATGTGGTAATACAGGAAAAGGTCCACTGTGTTTTTAAACTCCATACACCTTCACTAGAATCATTTGGACAATATCAGCTCTGGAATTGCCAATTGATACTTAACAAAAGGTTAAAGGGGCTGTTAAATTGAAAACTACCACTACATGACCTCACAAGGTGGATCAGAGTATTTTGAGCTTCGGAAATGCAGAGAGACGAATAATAAAGGATTACTCAAACAAAATGAATGAAACAAAATACAACTCCAGGTATGTTTTTGAAGAGGTAACTACATTCTTACACGGGTTAAAGCTCACAAGAGTCAGTTTAGTGTAATAAAAGTAGATTTTTTTTCTCAATACCTGGAAGTTAAAATAAGATGTAGCACAGTTCTCTTCAGTCCATTATCCTCAATGCCGCGTTAAACTGCTTTGGAAACCCGGGTTACACTACTTTCCCCCCCTCCCTCTCTGGTGCTTTGAGCTTATTCTGGACCGAGAAGAAAAAGTGTGAGTGCAGGTGCGAGTGTCCAAACGCGGAGGAAATCAATATGATGTAAATTATTAAGAGCGGAGGAATGCGCCTGACCCCTCCTGTCTGCACCGGCCGGCAGGAGCAGCTCTGAAGGCTTGGCAGGTGCACTCCGGCTCGGACCAGGCTCCAGTCCTCATTAGTGGCTGAGAGCGGAGCGGTGAGCGGGGAGGCAGGGGGCTCAGCGGTGGGCCTGGCTCTTCTCTCTCTATTCTCACACACACAGATAGAAGTGTGCTTAGGGCTTACATTCAAACATACGACTAAAACAAATGCAAACGCAAATGTTATTAATCAGACAAAAAGACGTGTTTTGTGCATTAGACCGTTAAATGGGGTTATCAAAAATATATATATTCAGAAACTAATACTAAAACTATTATGAAAACTACTACTACTAGTCATCTGAAAAAGTTTTAATAAAAAAATGACATGTATAGGACAGAATTTAACCTTTCCTGGATATTTAAAATGATGTTTAATTATTATTTAACTATAAGATCACATGGATAAGATCACATAACAAACTAACTGCTATTACCATTAAAATGTTTTATTATTGTGGCATTAATCGGTATTTATTTGACTTAGACGGACTTTATTGATCCACAAGGGACATTTCCTGGACACAGTAGCTCACACATCACAATGTATTACAATAACAAAGAGTAAAAAATATAAAGATGGTAATTAAAATTCTAAATAAGCAGCAATAAAAATGGCAAGAGACTGGTGTCAAATAAGACATAATTATATAAATGTATATGTACAAGTAAATAAAGTAAAAAACACAAATGTAGTAATATAAATAGAGTATATTACAGTTATATATAAGAGATCATAAAGAAAATGGTGCAAAAGTAATATAATTGACAGGACATAGGGCTATTTGTTACATAAAGGTGAGTTGTTGTGCAGGTGTATGGAGTTTGGTATGAAATTAGAATTTTCGTTGTTTTGTTGCAATTTCGTTGAATGAATTAGAAATGTTTATATTGTGAAAACACAAATTTAGCTCATCACCCTCCTTTTATATTTTATTGCTTAACTTAAAACATATTTCTAATGGACTGACATAGTAATGTAATAAATGTATTCATGGATTCCAGTCAAGTCGCTTTTTCCTGTTTATAGCCCACATTTTTGTCAAATTGCCCTATTTTGTAGTCTCTCTGAATATGTTCACTTTTTGCAAGATCTTTATTATTGCATAGTCATTTGAATAATACATCATTATTCACAACACACTGGTCTGTTAACGCGCTTAAATGTGGATTTCAAGTTGACAAGTACTTAAATAATCTATGCATTGGAATCACAAGTGAAAAAAAAAAAAACTTGACTGGTGCCACACAAACCACGCACACAAACACACACACACCCACGCACATACATGCATGCACACACACACACACACACACACACACACGCACAGTGAGTGTCAGCCTCTCACTCCAGCCCTGCCAGCGCGCTCCCTGGAAGCTCATTAGTACGTGCACTGATGCATAAGAGCTGGTCATTAGCCGGGCCTTTTTTCCCTCATTTTGCGCCGTCTTCATCCCTGTCTTTCCCCCTGTCGGCTCCAGACTTAATCCAGAC